GGCTGCGCGTTCGGCTTCCCCTCAGGTCGGCCGGAGCTCTCCTAAGTCCAGAACAATAGCGCGCAGCTTCTGAATGACTGTCGGTATTTTGCTTCTAGATGGTTCATAATCCCTGTCATGCAAAGTAGTCCTAATTAGTCCGGACTGATGCGCTGTTTTGTAAGATGGCAGTCTTGAATTTTCAGTCTGTTTTAGTTAAGCCTAGGATTTCTGTTTTTTCTCTTAATAGAATTATCTGTGCCTTGGGCATTTAAAAATACGCATTGATGTGAGTATGAAAGATTAATTCCAAACTGTAGATAATTGCTTAAGCTATCAGACTTGAGGCTTATGTAGAAGAATTTTCCCAGGACAAGTGTGTTTTCTATTAGAGTTGATATCAATCTGTCAGAAGATCCTTTTGATTTTCAAATTTTAGACTAAATAGTTGAGTAATACTTGCCCTCTTCTCCCCTACTCTTTTTTGCTTTTCCTTAGGAAAACACTTTTTTTATTGTTAACAAAATATCTTGGAATGCATCCAGAAAATTGCTGTCTCTTTCTTTGAAAGAATAGAAATAGCTGGCTTTAGACCTTAGGTTATTATGTCGTGGAGAACTTTTATTGGAAATGTATCTGAGCTGATATGCTGAATTTCCAGTTTGAAAGCTTTGGCACCGACGTGTCAGCGCCACTTTCTCCAGACTTGCATATGGCCCTGTCGTACAAATGAGAGCGGGCTAGAATCCTGTATTTTCTGTCATAAGAAAAGATATATACTGGTATACACATATGGGAATTGTATTCAAATTGGAATAAATTCATTCAGCTGCGCTCTCCTCTCTCCAAGCTTTTCCTAACCAAAAGTACATTACTGAGGCTAACCGTTCCTATTTAACTTGCAGTATCTCTCTAGCTGTGGTTGTTAGACTTGTATATCTGATAACGTAAGAATCAGATGCTTTACTAAACTAATTGTACGTTGATGCACAATTCGCAGACTTTGTTTTCTGATATAGATGCATACTCCCATTTCAATTTTTAACTTTTTTTTTTCTTTTTAAATTGGCTACAGTGGTACGTTGTCCACATGGCGTGCTGGACAGCACAGGGGTCTTAGTGATATATGCCAGGCCCATCAGATGTGCCAAACCGCCTTAGATTCATTGACAAGACAAACCCAACCGTTGTTGAACTGCAATCATTTTGAATTTTATGTGGCCTCTTCCTTGTCAAAATCCCAGTGAATGTCGTTATGTGATGCCATCAGAATGACTCATTGCCATAATTGCGTATGTTCTAAGGGGTTATTCCCATTGTATTATTAAAAACTAGCGGTGTTTGATTTTTGGCAGGGACCATCTTCCTTGTATCATCTACAGATTTTGTCAATTAAATGAAGGAAAAAGAGATTTCCAAGACTTCAGAACAAGACTGGACTTGCACTCAGAGCAGTTTTTCAGTGTGGTATTGAGCTACTTCGTTTTATTTTAACAGGCAACATCAGCCACCTTACTCTCCCTGTTGCAGCGGTTCCCTGCAGAGTGCAAAGACAGAACTGGATTTCATAGCTAGCCTTCAGAATCATCCAAAGCACTGGCAGAAGATACCTTAGATCATTTATCACCACCATCATTTTGGCAACTCAGTTCTTCAGGAATTGGTTTTCGGGGATATAGCTTACAGGAGTGGGAGGCAGGGCTCCCTGGCAGAAAGCTCCAGGTTTATGAGGTTTGGTGACTCCTTAACAGAAGAAAAAAGAGCGATCCCACATCTCATTGCCTTGGATTTAGATTTCCCCAAACTGCAACTAAAAGCAACAGGGGAAAGCTAGAGGGAGGAAGGAGGAGAACACTGAGGTCACCTTAAAAAAGGTAAAAAAGGACTTTGATCAGCCAGGCTGCTCGGTGCATATCCAAATCAAGCCCTCAGAAAGAAAGGAGCTAGTCACGCTCAACCCAGTGCGGTTCTCTCACAATTATAGAGCCTCCTGCATTACTCCGTCAAGTTAGACCAGTGCTGCTTCCTCTTTCACAGGAATTAAATGGTCATTAGGAATCTGTAAGCTAAAACATTTACCTATAAATAGTTTACCTTTGTGATATGATTTTAATAGTCGTGAAAGTGACTTCTTTTCTAGAAAGCTGTACACATTATATGCTGCATTGTATATTTTAGGCTTATGTGTCCTTAGATTTCCTGTGGCCTTTGCAGGCCGTGTCAGTGATGAATGGCAGACAGGATTCTAACCAGCTTTTTGCTTTTGCTGTAAGTAACAATATATTATCTACCTGGTTGTCTGTTTTTCTCACTAAGGTCCTGCTGCTCTTCAAAAATCATGGAGATTCTGGCAAGCTGCTCCATCTACACTACAGTTTGGCACTCAGTTGGATATAACGTATTATCATGTGTATAAATGCCATTGGAGTGATTTAGTTATGGTGAATTGTTATACACCTGGTATTTTTGTAATTTTAATAGAACTTTTTTTAAGTGGTAGGCCTAACATTTCTTTCTCTGAAGACTATTGACTTAATATAAAATATCCCCTCTCACATTTTCCGACAATATAATCCAAATAATAGTATTAAGAATAACCTGTTTCACTATCCTACTATATTTCCTGTAATCAAAGCCAAGATTTCTTGTAAGTGAGAAGCCATTTTAACATAAACATGAACTAAAAAGTATATACATTACCTCCATCTCCATGGAGGTAGAAGGCTAATAAATTATTGTTTGAGGAGTATGTGTGCACACATTTAACTTGACTGTAGCTGATGAAATATATGAATTTATATTATACAGAGAGGGTAAGAACATAATACAACCAACCTGTGTTTGGTGAAATTTGTCTCCCTCAGCTCCTAAATCTCAGCAAATGAGATAGAAATTAAACAGTTCCAAACCCACAATTGTAAGCTGTTTATATTCCTTGCCCTTTTTTACCCATTATCCAGGCAGAATTACCAAAAGCTAAGTGAACTACCTAGAAACTGTCCTGCAAATTTGGGGCAGAAATCTGTCCAGTGGGTAAACATCAGTTTGTTCAACAGTATAAATAAAGGCATATTATGTGCAAAGGAGTTTCTGATGATGGGTTTATCTATCTAGCTGTCTGTCTATGTAGCAACTATTTCTCCATTTCCACGAATAGGTCATCAAATTATAGAACATGAACCCATGCAGAATCCAGAGGCAGTAATACTTCCGTGCTGAGATCCAGCAGGTACAGGTACTACATTTAGCTTCTGGCTGGCAGGGGGTAGACAAATTACGTTAGAAGAGACTTTCCTCCACTCTAGATAGTTTTTCATCAGTTGGGATTTGACCCCAATTTTGGTAAATAAAGCAAACAGAGCTTGTTCAGCAAACCCATTTATTTATTTAAAGAAGCATATTTTACAGTGATGCCATGGAGAGAACACCACAACAGATTTTATTTGGTGGGCTGAAGGAAAGCATTCATGTGCATGTGAGCGGAGATGACATTAACCCATGTCAAGAAGTCTCAAGTTTGGACTGTTGAGCCCTGTGTGCAAATCAAGTTGGTCAAAGACAGAATGCTTCTAAATTCATAAACAAACCAGGTCTCTGGGAGTGGAAATAAGCGCAATTCTCGAGCTGATTAAAAGAAGAAGAGGAAGATATTTGATTTTTAAAAAATATTTTCCTCCTAATTTTTCTAAAACAATTTCATTTTAAAATCAACCTTACTTAAAAATCTTGGATTTTCTTTATACATATTTTAAACTTTCCTTTGCCTTTTTCCCTTCCCCCCCCCCATTTTGCTATGAAAAGGGAGGTAGAAGGGGAAAGGGTACAACAGAAAGGAGAAGTTCAGTTTTCCTAAAAACTCTAGCAAATTCTTTAAAATATGTTGTGTTGATTTATTATAGGTAGTTTAGTTTTGAAATATTTATGCTAATATTGACATGAGTTACTGAAGGGAATCCAGTCAGTTGGCAGAACCTTAGTAGTATAAAACCTTACTAATGCACTCTCTCTTCTCTTTAATCCTTGTTGAGAACTGGATTGAGATACTGAAGCAGGAGGGAAGGAAGAGTAGCTTGCGAATTAGCAAGCTGAGGTTCATGAAAGGGTTACTGATTATTGCTGCTAAATAGCAGAAGGGAAAAAAAGATTCTGGTTACATGCAATGCCATGACACAAACAAATACTTATCTCACAGGCTAGTTGAGGCTAGAAAATAAAGTGAGATCTGATCTTTCAACTGGGAGGCCTTTAGGAGTCATCTGAACATGATCCATAAACAATTCGAAGGATGACTTTTAAGAACCTCTTTCTCTCTCTGCTTGGTATGCTGGTCGTTTATCATTGTGCTGAAATGGAATCCCCTTTAAAAGATATAACGGCTTCTTGTTTACTTAAACACAAAGTGGATGATGGGCTGAAAGGCTTTGCTGCCAGCAAAGCAGTCACGGAGAGCTTGGTACAGCTCTGGAGCTGAAACAACTATGCAGCTCCCACATTCTAAACTAAGCCAAAATAGCAGCAGAGTGAGTAGGGCAAAGAGAGAGTTTTGCTGTCTTTTGCTAGAATTTTAACTGTCTGAATTCTCAGTAAGTGCACTATAATGCACGCTCTTCATAGAAGAGCACGAGGATTGGCCTAGCAGGGGAAGGCAACTTGTCAGACCAAGGGGTCGTGCACACCACGTGCCCGGGGAGCTTTCTCCCACAGGTATTCAGCATACTCACTGGTTGTTTCTGCCCTCTGCTATAACCGTGAAGCAGAGAGGGTGGTACCAAAGCAAGAATAGTGGTCATTTCATTCACCAGGTTTAGCTTTGGAGTCATTGCCTTCCCAGGGAGCTAGGAACTCCAGCAGCTCCCCACTGATCCTCCCCAGGGCACGCATCTCTGGGAACCACGGCAGCTCACCTGGCTCCATCCCTCGGGATCAGAGATTTTTTGCTGAACTTTAAAGGAATTAAATGTATGCAGATATTTATATCAAGGAAGCACATTTTGAAACACATGGGAAGCCGAGCAATATGCCACCTCATTACACTGTCACGGGTATATGTGAAAAAAGGCTGTGTGAAGTGTGTACCCCAGTGCAGGCTCACTAAGTCTCTGTCCAGCCCAGTCTTCATCCTGGTTCCTCCGCCCTGTTGTCAGTTCTTGCAGAGAAGGAGTGTTTGTGCTGAATCCAGGAGATTCCAGTTGGTGACGCAGAGACCAGTAGTTTCTACCAAACATGAAAGTTTGCATTTCTTCTCAAGAGCCTGAACTGTGCCTTCCCCTTCCCACCTTCATTCCCTCCTGCCATGCGTTTGAGTGGTGTCTGGACAAAGGGACAAGTGTGTCCCTAGCCCAGGAACGGAGTCTTGTAGCTGTGACTGTACAAGCAAAGTCGCAAAGTTTAAGCAACCTGTGGTTTATTGTAACCTCTCATTTTCTCAATTTGCTGCATGTTAACTGGATCCTTTAATGGGAAATTCCTCAGGGGGCTTATTGGAGCACAGCTGGGATTCTGAGAGCGAGCTAGGACTGATCTGTGGCTGCAATGCAGCTGGCAACATTTTCTGGGATTTTCTTAAAGCTTTTGAGAGTTTCCCTTCCACAAGCGAGTTTCTGTCCTGTGGGACACCAGCCTCCATAGGGGCCAAGGCATGAACCACACACTCAGGAAGCTGGCTGTCATTTTGTTTTTTTGTTTTTTAATTTGAAATAACTCTTTGAAGCAGATTCAGGGCAGATACCACTGACCTCTTATCACAAATGTTTATCATGTATTCTCAATGATAAAGTCATACAGCTTAAAACACAAAATAAAGGGTAGGGTAAGAGAAAGAGGCCACCGAAATTCAGTTCCAGTCTTGTCCATCTGGCTGGAGCTGTGTTATACTGGGGTTACACAGCTGATTTTGAGCTGAGGCATTTTGTCACGAATACTCACATCTTTGTTCTTCGCTCTGATTCGTACCGCACCTCTCCCCCCCGGCTGCCCGCTGCGGCGCTCGTGGGACTCAGGCTTCCTTTCGCGCCCGCTCGCGCCCCTCTTTGCAGAAGCGTGCCTTTTGCAGTCCTGGGTTGTGGGTGTGCAGCCTCCGTAAGTACTTGTGCACGTGGTTTCTGTCGGGTCTGTGAGTGAGTCTAGGAGTATATGTCTGTCCTTCTGAACGTGTGTACGTGTTGTGTAGCAGTGCTCTGGTTCAATAAAGCTTTCATATACATAGCAGCAATGAAGTCTTGCCATCAGGTGACGTAAAGGGGCAGCTATTGGGTAGGGCTGGCAGACGTCACGGGGACCACAGCCCCTCTCTGTTTGCTCTTCCTCTTCTTGGTGCCAGACTTGGCATCTTTGGTGTCTTTCCGATTTCTGTTTCCATTCATGTTATCTTGCTTTCCTTGCTCTTCTTTTTTCTTTCTTTTCCCTGCAGTAAAGCAAAGGGCAGCAGTGAGGCTCTCCAGCACAACGAGCATGTTCGCCCAGCTAGGCGGCACACTGACCCGGCTGGCTGTGGGCTCCCTGACTTGGCTCGAAAGGCGTGCTACAGGGCCTGCACCTCTCCTCTGCAGGAACAGAGAGGTGCTGGAGGAACAGGCCTATCTGCCAAACTGTTATTTATATTTTGAGCTGTTGCCTAAATTTAAACAGGGCAGAAAGCTCAGATCTGGAGCTAGCTTTGTAATTTTCAGTCCTGGGCAGAACTTTTAAGACCTGCGTTTCTCTGCTGTGATGTACCAAGCCCCTTAGCATAACATGCACGTCGTGCATAACATGCACATGAGTTACGGAAATGCACCTCCCCATTCCCAGTCTTTTATCTCTGCGTTGTTAGTCGCTGCTCAGAACCAGTTTCCCTCAAAACAGTCATCCCGACTGCAATCCTTGTCCGTCTCGTAAGAGCATGACCAAACCAGCACTCATCCTCAAGACAGTGTAATTCCTGGGAGAAGCACAGGCCTTAGCGTTCCTGTAAAGGGGCTGGAGAAGATGACTCCCATCGCCACATCCCACATGGGCTTACGCTTTCAGCTGCCTTGCTGATCTGCCTTATTTGCTCTTTGTCCAGTGAGGAAGCTAAAGTATCTGAAAACACACAGCAAATGTGCAAGCCGTGCTGAGGATCCCCCTCGCAGAGGCCTGCGCCGCTTCCCCAGGGGCTCTCCAGCTGCTGCCTCATGCTGGGCTCCCGCAGGGCTTCGTCGGGGCCCCGATGGGAACCGCGCCGCACGTCGCCCGCTATCTGCGCCGCCGAGGAGCAGCGACATGCGCGCACGTTTGGGATGCTCGCTCACCTTCGGGGCACTGGTTCTTCTGGACGGTGCATCTGCGCACCTCCGTGGTGGCAGGACACAGGGACACGTCCCCAGAGGGAGCCTGCAGAATCCTTCGCGTCCGATCTTCATTGCCCTTCTTGAAGCCACACAGCTTCCTCTTCTTGGAGCAGGGGCCCCAGGGACCCCACTCACTCATTTCACATTGTGCTGCCGGATCACAAGAGAGGCCAGATGTCATTCTCATTTCTCCATTGCTGCCTCAGTACTTCCAGGAGCCCTTCCACACCATCACACCTCTCCCGCATCCCTCCCCACTTCAGGTTTAAAGAATACGTGCGTTTCCCCAGTAGCTTCTTAAGTTTTTAGGGCTCCCTCTTTCTTAACACATAGCAAAAACTCTGAGTCCCTCTTCGCAAATAAGTGGCAGTAACAGTGCGATGCTACTCCTAGTCCAGGATGGTTTTCTAGAGGGCTCTGTGCTCCAAGAGCCTGGGTCTCTGCCCATGCCATCACCCACTAGACCACTACTACAGCGAGACGTGGTCTCTGAAGGGTATGTTGGTATCCTCCAAACCACAACTGCCCTCTAAAACAGCAACACGGAAACTACATCTTGCACTGCAACTGTAAATTTAAGTGCCATGTGGTGGAGAGTCTCTGAAGACTTTTGTATGTGCTGATATTCAACCACTGAAAAGCAAACTAACACTCAGTTCCTTTTTTCACTGTTTTGCACAGCAGGGACTGGACAAGGGGTTCTGACACGTTTCTGTTAGGCCAGACTGGAGCTCACGCAGCAGAGGTCATGTGTACGCTCCACGACTGCCAGGAGAAAAGACTAAGAGTGGAAGCAGAAAAATGCAAACAAGTGATCACCTCCTTACAGACAAAACAGGTGGGGGCCTATAGATGCTGTGGGGCCCAGTATATGCGTAGAAAGGTGAGTGAAAGCTGCCTGAGCGTTGCTTACCAGGACTGCTGCACTCCATGGTGCCGTTGGCAGCAGAGTAGCCTTCGGGGCATGTGACGTAACATCTCCCCTTGTGCAAATACAAACCTTCCTTACATTTTGTGCAAAAGTTTCGACTGAAACAGGACTCACAGTTCTCAATTTTGCATTCTGGGGAGAAAATACAAAGCCATCATGTAGTCTGATGTGAGCAAACCAGCTGGCAGGCCAGGCTACTGCGTACGGCATAGGGGAGCTATGCCTGGCCCCGAGGGACGTCTGGTACGCCGAGCTGAGACCCGACACCTACATGCAGGGCAGCTGTAGGGAGCAGCAGAGCTACATGGGCCACGGCTGCCTCAGCTGGGCCAGCAGCCTGAATCCGGCAGGCGAGGAGCAGGCTTGGGCCACAGCGTAGCTAACCCCAAAAGGCTCAGGATGTACTTGACTCAACAGCTAATACAGCTCACTCCTGGCTCCAAGGGGTCTGCAAACAGCCAGGCGAGTCTCTGAACATCCTGCCAGGTCTGGCTCGTGCTACTTAGAAGTTAGTTTTCTTTGCACTGTTCCTTGGTGCAGGACAGAGCCACTGTGCTACAGCTCTCAGAGCCAACAGCGGCCACCGCCAGATTGAAACAGACAGGGTGGAAAAGATTTGGGCTTGTGTTCAGCCTGAGCATCAGTCTGCCAAAGTGGAAAAGTGCAAAGAATAAAGTCCGATATCAACTGCTCCAGCTGCAGCTTCGGTATGGGCTGCAAAGAACCTGAGTTAGATGGAAATCTGGCCATGAGGGTGGTTAGCATGAAGCTGCCAGGGAAATGATCACATTTTTCCATGTCCAACTTCCTTTCTGGTACTCTGGCTGAAAGAGGCAGCTTCAGGCTGAGGATCTCTTTCAGACAGCTGCTTATTTATGGAGAACGGGCAGAAGACAGAAGAAAAGGTACTTGTGCAAGTGATTCCTTAATTGCTAAAAAGACTTCCCTTCTTCCACTTCCCCCTGAAGAAAGAGGATGCCAGCCTGGCAGTCTAGGAACAGAGCTGCCCAAATGTCCTGCAGATAGTCACATCCACAGCGTATCTGTATGGTGCGGAGCATATTGCTAGAGGGAAGCTCAGCCCTGGCGACTTTGCCGTTGGCACTCTGCTCTGCTGGATGACCGGCCGTGCCAACAGCACAGACATCTGCAGAGGCTGTCCGAGACTGAGAAAGACGGAGAGGCCAACGTTCAAGTCAGAAGCTGCCCGGAAGGGCTGATGTGCACGTAGTGGATGCTCAATAGGCTTTTCATGTCATTGATAGGCCAATATCCTGCAATTTATCCCTCTCTGTTGGCAATTTATATGGGCTTTTCCAAGCCTAGATGAATTAATTTTACTGCTTTTCTTGACCTTGATTTAGCAGGAGCGATCAGCGGGCGGTGGAGGAGACGGAGTCTCCTTGGAGCATCCTCCTTCTCCATCTCCCAAGCGGTGCCCGGGAAGCGGCCCGTGCCTCCGGCAGAGCGGCTGTGCTGGGAGAGCACAGCCACGCCAACCGCAGTGTGCACAGAAACACCGTCTGCAAAGGAGCCTTAGGCAGCATCACCTTAAAGGAGTCATTTTATGGGAATTATTCCCTGGGTAGATCCCTGTCCTGCTCCCTTTCATATAATGACGGCATTTCTTCCTACCTGACCTGGGGCAACATAATCTACTGCAAGGCACCGATACCCCCACAAGGCTTGCCTCTTCCCTCCCGGCCCTGCTACTCACTGATGCACTTGTTCATGTCTGTATTGCGAAGGCCAAAGTATCCCAGTGGACAAGATGGTAGGCAAATCCCAATCTGTCGGATGTCATTCCTCTCCAGAAGGATGAAGAGCTTGGGGGAACATCTCAGGCACCCGTTGAACTCGGAGCACAGGTCACAGCCTCTCGCGCAGCCCTGACTGAGCTCGGTGCTAACTGGAACAGCAAGAGAGAGACCTGTCGGTCAGCGCC